AACTACAAAAGACCCCAATTAGCCAAAGCAATCCTGAGAAGGAAGAATAAAGTGGGGGCGATTATGCTCCCCAACTTCAAGCTTTATTACAAAGCCACAGTAATCAAGGCACAGTAATGGCACAAGAACAGACCCATAGACCAGTGGAACAGAATAGAGAGTCCAGATATTAACCCAAGCATATGCGGTCAATTAATATACGATAAAGGAACCATGGACATACAATGGGGAAATGACAGTCTCTTCAACAGCTGGTGTTGGCAAAACTGGACAGCTACATGCAGGAGAATGAAACTGTATTACTGTCTAACCCCATAAACAAAAGTAAACTCAAAATGTATCAAACACCTGAATGTAAGTCATGAAACCATAAAACTCTTAGAAAAAAACATAGGCAAAACTCTCTTGAACATAAACATGAGCAACTTCTTCATGAACATATCTCCGCAGGCAAGGGAAACAGAAGCAAAAATGAACAAGTGGGATTATATCAAGCTGAAAAGTTTCTGTACAGTGAAGGATACCATCAGTAGAACAAAAAGGCATCCTACAGTATTGAGGAATATATTCATAAATGACATATCTAATAAGGGTTGACATCAAAAATACATAAAGAGCTCATGTACCTCAACAACAACAAAAAACAAATAATCCAATTAAAAAATGGGCAGAGTATCTGAACAGACATTTCTCCAAAGAATAAATTCAGATGGCCAACAGGCACATGAAAAGATGCTCCACATGGCTAATTAAAACCACAATGATATATCACCTCACACCAGTCAGGATGGCCAACATCCAAAACACAAACAACAAATGTTGGTGAGGATGTGTAGAAAGGGGAACCCTCCTATACTGCTGGTGGGAATGTAAACTAGTTCAACCATTGTGGAAAGCAGTATGGAGGTTCCTCAAAAAACTCAAAATAAAAATACCATTTGACCCAGGAATTCCAGGAGCCAGGTTTGAAAAAGACAGATGCACCCCTATGTTTATCACAGCACTATTTACAATAGCCAAGAAATGGAAGCAACCTAAGTGTCCATCAGTAGATGAATGGCTAAAGAAGATGTGGTACATATACACAATGGAATATTACTCAGCCATAAGAAGAAAACAAATCCTACCATTTCCAACAACATGGATGGAGCTGGAGGGTATTATGCTCAGTGAAATAAGCCAGGCAGAGAAAGACAAATACCAAATGATTTCACTCATATGTGGAGTATAAGAGCAAAGCAAAAACTGAAGGAACAAAACAGCAGCAGAATCACAGAACCCAAGAATAACAGTTACCAAAGGGAAAGGGACAGGGAGGAAAGGGGAATGGAAAGGTAAAGCGAATAAAGGGCATTATGATTAGCACACAGAATGTAGGGAGGTGGGCACAGGGAAGGCAGTATAGCACAGAGAAGACAAGCAGTGACTCTACAGCATTTTACTATGCTGATGGACAGTGACTGTAATGGGGTATGTGGTGGGGACTTGATAATGGGGGGAATCTAGTAACCACAATGTTGCTCATGTAATTGTATATTAATGATACCAAAATTTTTTTAAAAAACCATAAACACTCTACCCATTAAACGATAACTCCTCCCAGGCCCTGGAAACCATCATTCTACTTTCTCTCTCTATGAATTTAACTACTCTAGGTACCTCATGGAAATGGAATCATATAGTTTTTGTCTTTTTGTGACTGGCTTATTTCCTTTAGCAGAATATGCTCAAGGTTCATCCTTGCTGTAGTGTGTGTCAGAACTTCCTTCCTTTTTAAGGCCAAAAAATATTCCACTGTAAGTATACACTACCTTTTGTTTATCCATTTATCCATCAGTAGATGCCTGGGTTGCTTCCACATTTTAGCTATAATGAATAATACCTCTATAAATATGGTTGTACAAATACCTTTTTGTGACCTTGATTTCAGTTCTTTTGGATATATACCCAGAAGTGGAACTGCTGGATCATACAGTATTTCTATTTTTAGTTTTTTGAGTAATCCGTATGCCTTTTTCCATAGCGGCTACACTATTTTACATTCCTACCAGCAGTGCACATGGTCCCAAGACTAGTTCTTTTTTAGTGTATAAAAAAAATTATAGTACATACACAGTACTCATTTTAAGTTAGTGGGGGATGGGAAAAATGGGTGAAGGAGGTCAAAAGGTACAAATCTCCAGTTATAAAATAAGTCACGGGATATAATGTACAGCATGGTAACTATAGTTAATAATACTATATTGCATACTGAAATTTGCTAAGAGAGTAGATCTGAAAAGTCCTCATCACAAGAAAAAAAAATTTTCTGTAACTATGTATAGTGACAGATGTTAATCAGACTGTGATTCTCTCACAATGTATACAAATTTTCAATCATTATGTCATACACCTGAAACTAATATAATGTTATATTCAATTATACTTCATTTTTTAAAAGAAGGTGAAGTGAAGGATAAATAGACAGACATAATTATTTTCTTGAAGATCCTTCAGAGGTATATTAGGCCTAGTCACACATTTTCAATTTTGGAGTCATTAGCATATAGACAAGTATTCAAAACCATGAGACTGGATAAGCTCCCTCTATGGAGAAAGTGTTAAGTGCTTACTATGTGAGGCACTATTCCAAGTGCTTTACAAGTATTATCTCACGTAAATCTTACAATAACCCTATGATGTAATGATTATCTTAACCCTCCTTTTATTCTAATTTACCTAAGGTCCTACAGGTATTAAGTGCTGGAGCTGAGCTTGGAACTAGAGCAATCTGACTCTAATGCCTGTGTTTTGATTTATTGTGAAGCTCATGGAGCTGATGCTTCCTGGCCCCTCACCTGCACACGCCCCTTCCTAGAACAGGGAAAGCTGTAGCAATGTGGTTGCTTCATCATATGTTTTTGAAATTTTGCAAAGGTAAAATGGTTTCATCACAATCTAGACCACCTTTTCTTTACACTGCAACTACTCCTCATGTAGAATGGTAGTGGAATGTCCACATACATTTTTGGGACCCTGCTAAGGAGTAGTTGAGTTGAAGGTATCTTCAGTTTTGGTTTAGTTGTTTGTATTTTTGTGGTTCACAGGCACTTTTGCAAATAGTTATTATTAGCCATTCCAGTGTATTCCAACAGTATTCTTACCTCCTGCTGTACCAACAGTACCAGCTTTGATGGTGCAGAGACATTAATATCCATTAATATTCAATATGAATGCATCCTATGGTGCCCAGCATAACAGGCAGGTAGGCAGTGGAGGAGAAACAAGGGTTGGTAATAATGGTTGCAGAAGTTAGTCTGTGGAAAATTCTTCCAGTCATCAAATGTGTAAAATTATAGGGGGAAAATTTGATTCTCAGTGACAGCTAATCAAACTAGAAGTTCTCTCATGTAAGGGGTATACTCATTATATATGGAAGTATTTTGCTTTTTTGATGGAAGTTGTATAAAACAGAATTTATTAAAATTCTTGTTTTGTAGGGCACAATATCACAAATAGCAAGTTGAATCTTTGGTGTCTTCTGGCTCCATATAAGTGTCATTTTTCTACACCAATACTCCTAACACCAACTGGGTGCTCCAACAATTAAATTCACTTCTGACATTAATTCCCAGAGTTAGTGCTGACTCAACAGTCCCTCAAGACTGCTCCCACTTCAGACACCAGCCACAAACAGTGTGCCCAGGCTACCCACACTTCTGCCCAGCAGCCTATAAATCTGGGTGTTCACACAATGCCTTCCTCAGATTTGATAATCCACTAAAATGTCTCACAGCACTCAAGAAAGTGCTATACTTACTATTACAGCTTATAAGGGATACAAATGAACAAATGAGTAAAAATATAGTTCGAAATCTGGAAGGGTCCCAAGCACAGAAGCCTCTGTCCCCAGGGAATCAGAGCTCACGACCCTCCTGGCACATGGGTGTGTTCAACTCTGAAAGCTCTCTGAATCTTGTAGTTCAAGAGTTTTTATAACCCAGTCGCCAGTCCCCATCGTCTTCCCAGTAATCAGGTGGGGATGAAAGTTCTTACCCTCTACTCATGTGTTTGGTCTTTTTGGTGAACAGCCTCAATCCTGAAGCTACTTAGGAGCCTCACTCTGAGTCATCTCATTAGCATAAACTCAAATGTGGTTTAAGGGGCTCATAAAGAACAATAACAGATGCTCTTATCACTCAGGGAATTCCAACGGTTTTAGGAGCTCTGTGCAAGGATCTGGTGACACAGACTGAATGTATATCATACTTCAGTCTGTATGAAGTTGCACATACATCCAAATCAGTAATCTAATTTCTTGCTTATTTTATTGAAACCTTTAAAAACATCCTTCCAAATTTTTAGTTAAAATGATGTATTAGAGTTTTATCAACTTTTTTGAATAAAGTTTTCCCATTTTGTTTGTGTTCCAGTTTGTCTTCCAAGATTTTTAAAATATATTTTAGAATCTTAAAATGTCTTTGTAGCTATACTGCAAGATTTGAACAACTTTATGATGGATAGACTATATCACTACACTATGACTCTTTAAGAAAAAGTCAATATTGGTATGTGTGATTAAGCCAGTCCATCTACAACACACTAAAAAAAAAAAATAACTGTTAAAAGGAAATCACCTAATTTAATCATCCTAGAAGACAGAGCATCTACAAAATAAAAACAAGGTGCTATGATAAAGGAAAAAATCTTGGGAATTAAAAATATAATTGCCAAAACTTCAACAAAAGGGTTGTAAGGTGGTAAAAGAAATCTCTCATAAAATGGAGGGGGTGGGGACCTGCATAAAATGTGAGACAAAACTAGTAAGTCGAATGTTTTGATGAACAGGGGATTCAGAAAGACAACAGAAATGGCAAAGACAAAAGTGACAAAGAGCTAATAGTAAGGAAATACTTGGAGCTGCCCGCCCGCGCCGGGGCCGGGACACCCGCGGGCCCGCTTTCGGGCGGAGAGCCCTGCGTCCGGAGTCCCCCGCCCCCGAGAGTGCCGGCCCCGCGGCGGGTGGAGTTCCCCCGGGCCCGGCCGTCCCGGGACGCGGACTCGCGACCGTGACGTCACGCCCGGGACTGGCCGTTGCGGCGAGGCCTCGCGTCCGGTTCCGGCCGGTTGCCCGGGAGACGCGGGTACACAGAGCGGACCGGCTCCGATCGGAGTCCGAGTGGTCGTGGCGGTCGCCCCTCCGGGGACAAGCCGCCGTGGGCGCCATGAGCCAGAGGCAGGTGCTGCAAGTGTTCGAGCAGTACCAGAAAGCCCGGACCCAGTTCGTGCAGACGGTGGCGGAGCTGGCGACCAGATCCCAGAACATCGAGACGCTGCAGCACGCAGGTATAATCTCTTTGCTGAGGCCTCTTCTTCTGGATGTGGTCCCAACAATTCAGCAGACTGCTGCTTTGGCTCTTGGGAGACTGGCTAATTATAATGATAACCTAGCAGAAGCAGTTGTGAAGGGTGACATTCTCCCACAACTTGTTTACTCATTGGCAGAACAGAATCGTTTTTACAAGAAAGCAGCTGCCTTTGTGCTACGAGCAGTTGGTAAACATTCCCCTCAACTAGCTCAGGCAATAGTTGATTGTGGAGGACTGGATGCGCTGGTGATATGCCTGGAAGATTTTGACCCCGGAGTCAAGGAGGCTGCAGCCTGGGCCCTTGGATATATTGCGAGACATAATGCAGAACTGTCACAAGCTGTGGTGGATGCAGGAGCTGTTCCTCTTTTAGTACTCTGTATCCAGGAGCCAGAAATTGCCTTGAAAAGGACTGCTGCGTTGGTGCTCAGTGATATTTCAAAGCATTCTCCGGAGTTAGCACAGACAGTAGTGGATGCAGGAGCTATTGCTTATTTAGCCCAGATGATCCTGAACCCTGATGCTAAATTGAAGCGCCAGGTCCTTTCAGCCCTCAGTCAGATTGCAAAACATTCTGTGGATCTGGCAGAAATGGTGGTTGAAACAGAGATTTTTCCGGTTGTACTTACCTGTCTGAAGGACAAAGATGAATACGTGAAGAAAAATACTTCTACTTTAATTAGAGAGATTGCAAAACACACACCCGAGCTTTCACAGCTGATAGTTAACGCAGGAGGAGTTGCCGCTGTGATTGACTGCATTGGGTCCTGCAAGGGGAATATAAGACTGCCTGGCATCATGTTGCTTGGTTACATAGCAGCTCATTCTGAGAACCTGGCAATGGCAGTGATCATTTCCAAGGGTGTGCCCCAGTTGAGTGTCTGCTTGTCAGAAGAACCAGAAGATCACATTAAGGCTGCTGCCGCTTGGGCCTTAGGACAGATTGGGAGACACACTCCAGAGCATGCCCGGGCTGTCGCAGTCACGAATACTCTGCCAGTTCTGCTTTCTTTGTACATGTCAACTGAGAGTTCTGAAGATCTTCAAGTAAAAAGTAAAAAAGCCATGAAGAATATCTTACAAAAATGCACCTACTTACCAGCACTTGAGCCATTTCTGTATGATGCTCCTCCCAATATTCTGAAGCATGTGGTAGGACAGTTCAGCAAGATGCTGCCACATGATAGCAAAGCTCGGAAACTTTTTGTGACAAGTGGTGGACTTAAAAAAATTCAAGAGATAAAAGCCGAACCTGGATCTCTCCTTCAAGAATACATCAACAGTATTAACAATTGTTACCCAGAGGAAATAGTAAGGTACTATTCCCCTGGATATTCAGATATACTTCTGCAGAGAGTAGACAGCTATCAACCACTTACAAACTAAGAAAGATACTTTTTATGAATGATAGTTAAAGCTCTTTTTAAATATTTGAACTAAGAACATTCCTGATTTATTCAATGTGAAATACCTTTGGATAATATTTCTAAATGTATGTAATACTTTAAACATTAGTGGCTTGAATATATGAAGAAGTATTCATGGTCATTTGCATAGGATTTGCTCTAAAGGTAGATTTTAAAAAGACAATAAAGGGTTTTAAGGCAAAAAAAGAAATACTTGGAGCTAAAGGACATGAGTCCTCAAGCTGGAAAGTTCACAGAAGCCTAACATGATGGTCCACAGTCAGATTGTGTTGAAACAGCAGGACCACGGGATAAACAGGAAAAGCAGGTCACCTGCACAGGATGGCATCTGACTGGCATAAGATTTGTCATGAGACATACTGGACATAGAAGATTATTCACAATACCTTCCAAGTCCTGCGGGAATCTGACTTTACAACTGAATAATTTAAAGTGAAAAGAGAAAACTGAGAATAACATCTATGTACCCACCACTTAAAATAAATACATTAGCATTTTTTTCATTTTTGCTTCAGAAAATAAGTAAAAAAATAGAACGCCCCTTACTTCAATGCAACCATTCTCACAAATTAGATGTGTATCTTCTAGTCTATATTTTCACACTTTTACTACCTGTATAACTATAAACAATAGGTAATGAGAATGAGAATCATGTGTTTGAAAGGTACCTGAACTGAAATAGTGTATGCCCTGCAGTCTGCTTGCCACTTTCTCTGTTCTACCTATAAGCAATGTAGTTCACTGTCAAGGGAACATGCAGGTTTAGGGAGCCTGAAACTTAAACAATTTTAGGGGCCTCTTTGAGAAAAAGAATATAGTGCTCACTGTGGCAGTATATGTGCTAAAAAAATAGGAAATTATGAATATGAAATTATATCTGACAGTAAATTTTTATTTAGAGTGAAAAAATAATACAATTTTAAACTGCAGAGAATTTTAAGGAAATGCAAAACTTTTAATAATTAACTGTCTGATACACCTCTTTATACTTTTTCCCTACAGCTTTCAGCTGTTTACTTTTTGATAGCCTATTCATAGGACAATGACTTTATAATATTTTCAGTAGAGAAAACAGAAAGATAATTCAGCCTTGTCTCTATGGTTGATCAAAATTTGCGCTTTGTAGTTGAGTTTAGAAAAGTTTCTGCTTCACACATCATTATTAGTAATGTTATATAAATTATTAGCGTTGTCATCAACTTTGAGAAAGCCTCTATTTGCATTCTGAGTTTTTCCTTTTTCATAGCAACCTGTTCTTAATTTCTGGATGTACCATCTTCTATGAGGATATTAATTAGATGATCCTTTTAAATTGGTATATCTATTGGTCTCGTCCCCTGAGTTATGTCTGCTGCTCCAGTATTATCATTTTTTCTGTTAGTTTATCTTGTCCTTTATGGTTTACTTAAATGTCTGGTCATCTTTGTTTATGCATGCTTGAGAATGAGGGGAGGGGAGAACTGCCTGTGACTTCTGTGTGGGAGGGTGGTTGGGAGGCTGAGAGCTCTATTTTATGATCAGGCAGAGAACCTCTCATTTTATTTGGAAGTCCTAAAAACCAGACACAGATGATAATCCAAATTCATTTTGTTTCTTTAGAATAAACCACCACCTTTCTTGCAAGACTTTGGGGAGAATCCTGGCAGCCAGACCCTCTGCACACAAGGATGGAATGGGAGGATGGATGATTAAGATTTCAGCTGTACAGCTCACTTTGATCATGAGGGTGGAGGTGGCAAAAACATTGAGAACACAAGCATACACAACCTTCATAATTATTTGCCTCTAAAATCCATTGCTATTTTAAGGTTACCCTTTGGAAAGATCTATTTTGCCAACTTCCTTTCAGCATGTGAAGTTAAATCTCAGCCTGACCTACACCTCTGCAATTTTGCTTTGGGACTGGCCAATGCCCTCACCCATAAGGCCCTTCCTCTTCCACATTGCTCCCCGCTCAGAAAACACTTCTCGATGCTCATCTTACAAGAGTGTGAGCAAAGCAGAAAGATGTGACAAATATCAATGCCACATTTTTAATTTTTAAAATCTGGGTCAGTCACAGACCTGTATAGCACTGCAACACAGCTGCTTTCAAGTTTTTTTTTTCTGACAAGGTCTAATTATAAGCTGCAAGAACAACTAAATCAGAAGTGTGCATTCGATTATAATATGAGGGTCATTTTGGCAGGTGAATTTTGCATTGTCTACACAGTTTCAGTTTAGAGTGGGGGTAGTCTCCAGTTTGACTTAGAAATACAGAGCCCTAAAAGAGTTTGTAATTTGCATTATGTATAAGAAGATAGAAGGTTCTATCACAATCCCAATGCAGAAGCAAGGTCAGACTGGTTCTGTCCAGTTGCATTTTTGTCGTCCTCCTCCCCGTCTCCGACCCGCAGATAAAGGAGGCGACGTGATGAGATATCGAAGACCTGAGGAGGCCAGCCAGGGGACTCAAGGCATACCAGCTCAAGAGTCGTGCTGAGAGGGCATCTCTTGTATTTATTAGTCACACAAATACATTCAAGGACAGTTGGTGATCTCATGCATACAACCACTGGCTCGTTGTGATCTCAGTGTCCAAGTCCCTCCACAACGTTCCCCAGCACAACACAATAGGGGAGATAACTATGTTGCGGGAACTGGCCTTGGTTAAGATACAACATTCTTTTAAGGCACACACCACATTCCTCATCACTGAATAATGGAGAAGAACAGTTGAGTCATGATATTTTGAGCCCACACATTTTGACAAGGGGTTAATGATTTCCCTTCAGGACATCATAATCTCTCCAGTAGGGCCACATCTCATCCTATGTTCTGGCGCTTACAAGACTCAATGTTGCAAAATGTGAAGGGTCAGATGAGGAAAGCTTGCTACAGCCTCTGGGGCAAAAGAGCTCATTCTAAATCAGATGCTCAGGGGGCAGCCCAATTCTGCAGGCAAAGCAGTTCCCACTTCATGGTTTCTCTTTCCTCCAGCCTTCTCTAATTATCCCCCTCGTTCCATATTTCTCCACATCTTCCTCTTCTCTGGTCCATGGGTGGATGCCACCTCCACTCTCTTCTCTGCCCTAGCCTGTGGTCATTTATCTGGTGTCTGTACGCAAGAAAACCTGCAAGGTTGCAGACCAAATTTTATGTCTGCAGCAGTTTCTAGCCTTTGTAGGTAGGTGGCTCATGTCTATCATACAGGCCAGGGGTGAGGACAGGAGCTACCATTAGGGATAAAATTAGCAGGTTTGATTATATTAGCAGTAGGGCATGGTGAGGGAAGGAAGATTTTTTTTTTAAGATTCTCTGCTTTCATCAGATACTTCAATCAACTGACCAACTTCTGATTCAGATAAAAGGCCTCCTACTATACTATTACTGGTCACAGTTGAGTACCAATGAGTGTCAGCACTGTCAAGTGTTTTTCATCATTTCTACTTTCATCATTCTTGCAAGGTAGGTACTTGTATCTGCATGTTATAAAGAAAGAAACTGAAGCTCCCAGAGGCTGATTACCTCACTCAGGACAACCCTACAGGTTAAATAATGGAAAAATAATTTGATTATTAGTCATTTCTACTGAAAGACTAAGAAGAGACTGTGCAGGGTCAGACCAAGGGGCTACCCAGACCAGAGTCTTTGTGATGATGACACAAAGAAAGCATTAAAGAAAGACCTGCTTGCAATTCCTTAGCTCACAGGTTAGATGTGTGCCTATTACATTCCTACCTATTATATTCACTTATTAAGAAACTAGTATTTATTAGGTATTGATTATATGCCACATTCTGTGCTGAACACTTGACACTTCATCCCATCTGCTTCTCATTACCCACCTGTGAAATGAGAATTGTTACCTCCATTTTTCTGATGAGGAAATTGATACTCAGAGTCATTATGTAACTGTCCCAAGATCAAATACCCAATGAATGGTAGAGGCATAATTTGACCCTAACTTGGAGAGATTCCAGAGCCTGTTCCATGTGGCCCCCATCAATCAGAACCTGTTCCTTCTGAAGCTGTTCTGATGGTCCCTTAAGGTATCAGGACAAATTACTCTGTGATTAAGGATAAGAAAGCTGTATCTGGAAAGGCTCTGTGCTGATGCACACCAGGCCTTTGGGATGACTCAAATGCCAACTGAGAACTTGAATGACAGAATGGTGTCAGTATCTAAAAACAACTAGCAAAGTTTCTATTTACATTTGTGAAAATCTGCTTCAGCTCACTACAAGGCAAGTGGAGCCAAAAGCAGACAGTCACGTGCTAGCCTTCTGGTTTGGGACTCTCATTCCATAGACCCTGGCACAGGCCCAAGTACACCATAATTACTGCCATTTGTTGTGTACTTAATATGGGCCAGAGAACGTTACAAGCAAGCATCATCTCACTCTCTACAACAGTTCTACAGAAGACATATTGCTATCTCCGTTTCACAGATACAGGCTCTCAAGCTTAGAGAGTTTAAGCAACTTGACTAATGAGTAGCAGAACTGGTAAAACACAGGCTACCAGAGAAGGCTTCTCAGAGCAGATCATCCTGGAGGACACATTTTAAAGGAAGAAAATACGAGAAAGACCTTCTAATTAGCACTGACAGGCAGTGTCATAGAGCTAGGACAGAACATGGTCTTGCCCATACCTACTGCAATAGCAGTTTTTTTTTAAAGAAACTCATCTTTATCAAGTGTTTCCAAAACACTCAACTTAGTTTTCATAGAAAAAATAGCTCAAATTCTGGTTACACTCATATTTTACAGGTTTACATTTTATTTAATTAAATTGTACCATAGGTGCTTAGCAAAAATTGGTTTGTGTAAACATCACTGACTCCTGGCAAGCATCTAACTCAGTTGGTTACAACTTCCTCATGCCACATATTTCCCGCATGTAAAATGGTGTTGTTATAAGAACTTAATAAGTTAACCTATATAAAGAGCTTGGTAATCATTCAGTAGATGTCTGGGTGCAGAAGCACACAAATGTGCCTTGAAAAATTTTCCAGAAAGAATGGAAAGCATTCGTTAATCCCGTGAGTTGGTTTTAGGGAGGTACATTAAGAAGTTCTTCTGTACTGGGAGTGGTTTTATTAGATAAGAATGCCTGTTACAGATCATAGAAAACCTTCCCACCTACATACTGCCTCTCACTCCCTGGTTTTCTAATTAAGTGTGCACTTAGCCCTCAGCATACTTGCCGTACCTTATCCAAGAGTCTTCTTATACACTGGTCTGGACTGAAGGCAAGGAGCAGAACAAAAGCAAGTTTCTCGTTCTTCAACATTTGAATGGCTGCCACAGAGAATGAATAAATAACATCCTCTTTACTCTCCTAAAGAGATACTAACAACCAGTTACTTAATCTCTCCCCTTCTACGGCAGATTCTCGAGTATCAGGTTGCAAGGTATACACAAGTCCTGCTGGAGCAAACTGGTGCAGGAAGACTCCCAGCATTGACTCCATTTCCCAGTCACTGACAGCCAGTCACAGCATCCTGGA